GAGACGTGCATTAGACTGCGGCCAAGAATATCCTAAATTAAAGTCTATGGTGGGAGTAATGATTTAATTGTTGAAGGTTACACCAATGCAAGCTTCCAGACTGACAGAGACGACTTCAAGTCGTAATTAGGGTATATATTCAGTCTAAATGGAGGAGCGTTTAGTTGGAAGAGTGCTAAGCGAAGCACAACTGCAGATTTTACAACTGAAGCCAAATACTTGGAAGCTTTAGAAGCAACTAAAGGGCCGTTGATTTCCCCACACCCCATTATCATAGCGCACTTCTTAGGAAGTGAGAAAGCTGATTATACTTCTTAACTTTTTATTTTTTTTCTTTTTTTTTTGGAGGGGACTTTATGTATTTTATTTTAGTTTGATTTCTTTAATTTTTTTTAATATTTTTATAGTAGCTTTCGTTTATTCTAATACAAGTACTAAGTATTACTAGGAGTAATTCTCTACGGTGAATCAAATTTTATTTATGTCTAGTTGAAATTAATTTTTTTTTATTTTATCTTTCTAATTAAAATTTTTTATTATGTTTTAAATTTTGATTTTTTCGTTTTTACATATAGATGACATTATTTTCTTAAAAAAAAGTTTCATATGTGTCTAACTATACCATGTGGTCGGGGTTACTTATTAAGGAGTAACCCCTAATCAGTCGAGTAACCCATGATTGACAAAATAATCCATTACCGACCAAGTAACCTCTGACCGAACAAGTTATTCCTAACCAACCAAGTAACCTTTGACCTAGTAAACTTTGGATAAATAACCCCGAACCGACTGAGTAAACCCTGAATTAGTAACCCTAGCCATACAGAAACTGATGAAAAATTATGACATTTTATAAACAATTTGATATATAGTTTTTTTTAAAGAATAATATATATATATATATATATATATATATATATATATATATATATATATATATATATAAAATCAACAAATATTGTTTCAAAAGATACATAAATATGATTCATTGACCAAAGCGGCAAAGCTACTCCAAAGGTCTTATGCCATTAGCTTAGAACTAACTACTCCATCCACCCATCACTAGTAGAAAAAACGCATTAGGCAGCGGTTCAAACCCGGTATAAGGCACCGGTTTGAACCGCTGCCTATTTGAGGGGTGCCAAAAACCCCCTATTTGGCACCGGTTCAAAACCGGTGCCATAGGGTTTAATAGGCACCGGTTAACCGGTGCCTAATACTGCTCTCCCGCCATTTTTTTTTTGGGTGGTGGATAGTTTAGGCACCGGTTCCTGCCTAACCGGTGCCTTTTGTATAATTTTATTTTTTTCGTTTTTTTTTCCATCGTGCAATAATATTTTTAAAAAAAAAACCTGCAATAATAATACCCTGTAATTCCAGCAATTATATTAAATATAATAATTAATAATTTTATTATTATAATAACTAATAATAATATTATTAATTATTATATACAAAAATAATATTAGATACAAGAATTCAATTATATATATATATATATAGATATAAATATTCCCAAACGCAATACAAAAAAAAAAAGTTGCTTACATATACAAATAATAGTAAGTACACATATATAATGAATAATAAGTTATATATAATTCAAAAGTTAATAACATAAATAATTTACAATTACAATGCATGCCATTTACATGTTGAAGGTGATGAAAGACGCCAACATGTCACGAACTTCATTAAGCTCCGTGATTGTCAACGGGCCACCTTTTGGACCTTGCAAAACTTGAAATACAAAAACATTATTTTAAAAATAATTAATTAGGCAAAAAATATGTATTTTATCAAATATTACCTATACGACTTCTATATAGCCCATTTACTACATTACTTATCAAATGAACTATTTCTTTCTCATAACATTTCAATATTGGATAGTTGTATGTGTGTAAGCCCTAAAATTGTATAAGAGAGCATTTTATTAAGGTTTATGACGGGTTTTACCCAAAATGGCCCGAATATGGCCTATATGACCTTACTTTGCCCATATCCTACATTTCTTATTAAATGAACTTTATTTATCTCATAACATGTCAATATTATCTAGTTATAGGTGTATAAGGAAAGAAATCACATCAAAAGAGCAAATTAACACAAAATGGCCCTAATATGGCCCATATGACTTCTATTAAACCCATTTCCTACCTTTCTTGTGAAATAGCCTTATTGTTTCTCATAAAATGTCATTGTTGGATAATATTAGGTGTCTAAGGCTAGAAATCACATCAATATAGCATTTCAAGAAGTTTAACAACGCATTTTACTCAACATGGCCCAAATAGGGCTTATATGACTTCTATGTAGCCCATTTTCTACATTACTTATCAAATGAACTATTTCTTTCTCATAACATGTCAATGTTGGGTAGTTGTATGTGTGTAAGCCCTAAAATTGTATAGGAGAGAATTTTATTAAGGTTTACGACGCTTTTTACTCAAAATGGCCCGAATATGGCCTATATGACCTTACTTTGCCCATTTCCTACATTTCTTATTAAATGAACTTTATTTATCTCATAACATGTCAATATTATCTAGTTATATGTTTATAAGGAAAGAAATCACATCAAAAGAGCATATTAACACAAAATGGCCCTAACATGGCCCATATGACTTCTATTCAGCCCATTTTCTACCTTTCTTGTGAAATAGCTTTTTTGTTTCTCATAACATGCCATTGTTGGGTAATATTAAGTGTCTAAGGCATGAAATCACATCAATATAGAATTTCAAGAAGTTTTAGGACTTACCTCATCAAGTTGTTGAGTGTCCGTACAATGAGTCACAATGTCAAGCATGAATCTCATCACATACAAAGCACAATCAAGTCCATTCTCTTGTTGTGCGCACTAGCATATGAAAAACAAATCACATCAGTGAAACATGCAAAGGAAATGAGCAAATATTTACTACCATAGATTTTCAAGATAATCACAATAATATCATGTAAATTACCAACGGTGTCTTCCATGTTGGACCCTTTGGAGCATGACAATGTAGCTTCTTCGTAACACTGTAGTATAAAAAAATACAATCAAATTTGATTAGTCGTATGATTACTAAATTAGTTATTATTAGCAATAATCATCACTATAAGTTGCTATATATATTTACTTTTGCAATATAGACTTCACGAGCCACTTCTCCGATGATCGAGCTGAATCAAGGTGATAAATTGTGTTAGTGGAATTACAAATCACCATGAGGCTCCAATGCTCCCTACATAAGTTCACAATAGACAAGGTAATTAATATTTAGGAGTCAACATATAATGAGGCCAAATCCATTGAATTTGACATGGTTAGTCATACTCTCTATAACATGGGGCGAATATGAACTTGCCTCCCGCACGCGTTGATTCCCTTATACTCTGTTCAACATAGTACAACACGTCATGGGGTTGCCTATGATTTTAGTAGTGGATAACTGCTCGGGGCATAACCACCCAACTTTACAAGGAGAATCAGTGTCAGTTAAGTGCTCCTGTAGTGCTCTGCATGCATGAACATTGATTAATTTATCAGATGTAGGATAATCACCATCAATTTGAATAACTTGAAAAAAGTATGAACTTTATGTGGGCATTGAATTACCTCATGAATGTTTGAATGAGGGAAATGTTAAGCTTTGCACCACGTAGAAATTCCTTCACATCTTCTTTGCTGATCCATGCAATTGCATCCTCATCATAGTGGAACATTGCTTTAGGAAGTGCAACTTCCATGGGATCGACCAAATGACAAGCATGGTTGTGAAGAAAGGTCATGTCAGTAGAGAGCGATTGAAGAACAATGTCTTCAACAATTGGAGTAGGTGGCATGGGTGAACCTTTCGAAGAGTGCAACTTCGACGCTTGTTCACTCTTGGACTGTTGTTCACTAAGCTTCTTCTTAGGTTGATCAATTCTTTTAGGCTTCTCCACCCTCTTTCTCTTTGAAGTTTTGCTTCCATTGGAAATCTGAAATAGTTTGAGAAATAATAAGTTTCAACTCACAATCACTTATAATAGCCAAGTGAGTAGCCATTTCGGGTCAAAATGACTTTTTTTTGTTGAATTGGACCCAAAAACTTAGAACTTGGCGATTTTTATGTAATTTCAAATGACAAACACTTATAAATATGTGATTATGAGTTGTTTTGAGATGCAAGGAGTTTATAAGTTGAGAAATGAAGAAAAAAGGCAAGTAAGTAGCCATTTCGGCTCAAAATGGCTACTTTTTGATGAAATGATGAAAATTGCTTAAATTTTTTTTTTTAAAATGCAACGGCAGCCGCACCGGGACACCCGAGGGAGGCGCCCCCGCTGCCGGAACAGCGAAGGCAGCCCGTGCCAAGGCCATAGCAACCCCGACAGGTGGCTGCCAAGGCTGTAGCAGCCACGGCAGGTGGCTGCCAGTCTGCTGCAGCCTTGGCAGCAGCCTGCCTGGGCTGCTACTGCCTCGACAGGCGGCTGCCATGGTTGTAGCAGCACCTGTCGAGGCTGCAGCAGCCATGGCAGCCGCCTGTCGAGGCTGCAGCAGCCTAGGCAGGCTGCTGCCGTGGCTGCAGCAGTCTCGCAGCCACCTGCCGTGGCTGCTACAGCCTTGGCAGCTACCTGTCGGGGCTACTGTGGCCTCGTTGGGGCTGCCTTTGCTGTTCCGGCAGCGGGGGCGGCTCCCTCGGGTGTCCCGGTGCGGCGAAAGTTGCTTATTTTTTTTAAAAAAAAAAATTTGAACAAGGCGATTTTTATGTAATTTCAAATGACAAACACTTATAAATATGTGATTATGAGTTGTTTTGAGATGCAAGTAGTTTAAAAGTTGAGAAATGAAGAAAATAGTCAAGTGAGTAGCTAATTTACCTCCTTATTAATCAACTTCACCCATGCACGTGGCCAATCAACGAAGCTACCTACAGCTTGCCAAAGTGCTGTTATCTCAACCAAGTAATGATGTGGCCTCGCCGTAGCACCCGTCGTCGGTTGGGCACTACCATACGCCACCAAACTCAACACAGTATATTTGCATGCCCCGGGGCTAGAAGTGCACACCTGGTGTCTTCCTAAACAAGTATATATATAAAAAGAAGATAGTTAAGTAGGACTTTTACAACAGCATAGATATAACAAAATTCATTAAGGTAGAGGGTTACAAATTACCTGTAACTCTGGAAATTCATGCGGTGTTGGATTTTCAAGCTCCCTCGAGTCCGCATGTGTAGGAGTAGGAACCTACAACAGTACATCAATCATTGCACCTAAAATCTCAATTAACTCGGTATTTTAAAACTTTTAATAACCCAGTTGATTTTACCTGAGGTGGCACATCTTCACCACGTATCTCATCTCCTCCATGTCTATCACCTTCTCCTTGTCCTTTTGGTTCAGAACATGAGTCGACCGGGGTACGAGTGAGAAACGGCAAAGTCGGTAAGTTCATCAGCTTCGCCCAAGCATTCAATTCACCAACTAACTCGTTGCGTACTTGTTCCTTAATTGATGCCACCTTGGCATCCAACTCCCCCGGTGAGTTAACACTGGCTCGAGATGTACCCGATTTTGTGTATTCGGGACCCATCACCTTATTCCATCCAAGCAATGACCCTCCCGAACCTACTACTCGTCCTGGATGGTATGGCCTTCCCAAAGCCATGGTGAAAGGGTCATTCTCAACACTTGGTTCAAATTTGCCCTCCACCATCTCTTGAGTGTGCTCAAGCTATAGCATAAGGAAAAATGAAGTCAGTAAAACAGTTAATGGTTAGATGCAAAAGTGACTTAATTTCAACAATTCATAGGTAACTTACTAGCTTATCCGCCAGTTTTTTGGCTTCCGGACCCTTGATGAACCATTTTCCGGTTTTCTTATCAAACGAATGGAGAGAACAAAAGAAATCACCGGCACGACTCACCAAGGTAGTGATCGTGGAACTAGAGGGTTCCTTCGATGCCACTAGAAGCGCTTTAGGGTATAAACCCGAAGCGGCCCACTCAGGTCTCTTTTCAGCAAAAGTCTTAGGACCCATACGATGGACGTATTCCTTCTTTTCTGCATTCGCTTGATTTTGCTCTCGAAGTTCCTACAAAACAAAAAATGTTAGTCTCATTAATACAAAAAGTGTCAAGCTATTATTCAATTGACATCAGATTTACACAAACTTACAATGGCTTTCTTTTGACTCTTCATTCTAACGAACTCTTCCCAATCATCTTTTGACACGGTCGGCCATATTTGCCACGGGAGACGGTTATTCTCTTTGGCATTCTTCTTCTTTGTTTGCACCTTCTTCTTCTTATGGATCCACCGATTAGTCAACTTGGTCTTAAAGCCTCTGAATATTTCCCCTAATAAAGAGACAAACACCCTTTTCTTCTCGGGATCATTAGGAATAGAAAACTGCCCCTGCAAGCACAAATTAAAACCGATTATTGGTTTCTATTTAAAAACAATCATAAGGTTAAGGTATCTTAAATTGTCTAAATGTGCCAAAAACACACTTACCCTTGTATCATCCCAAAACGCTTGAATCAAACCTGGAGGTACTTGCCGCATTACAAGTGTAATGGGGATTTTCCGCGAACATAAGCCAACTTGATTAGCATATTGTTGACTCCATTTGGGCCCGGGTTGGCCTTTGTTGTCATACTCCAAGACCATGGGACCGTCCGGTTTCTTAAAGCTTTTCGTCGGACCCCTTGTTTTTCTTTCAGCCGGTGCCTTTTCCCCCCCTCCACCACCTGTGTTGTTTTCATCTTGTCCTTGGCCTTGACTTTCAGGAGTCGGGTTCTCACCAACCATCTCACATCCTGTATTTTCAATGGCCGGTGCACGTTCAGCTGACATTTCAAAATCGTCAAGCCTACGCTCGAACTCATCTTGAGCCTGATCCTCTGGCTCACCTAAGTCATCCTCCTTATTCACATCATAAGGAGCATCACTATCATCGGAGTCGTCATCCTCGTACTCGTCCTCATACTCATCATCGTCAATGTCCTCTACCAAACGAGGATCATGATCGTCCTCCATGAGATATAAGCACCTGTCAAAGCAATCATAAAACAATATTAGTGTATAGTAAAGTATATGCATGATAGTTATTATGGTTATGTAGAAGCTATTCTAGCCATTTTCACCTACTTATTACGGTCCTATAACCTTGTATATGCATGATAATGAGTACAAAATGCCAATTTCAATCTACATATGGAAAATAGGTTGTTAGAATGAATAAATGTTAGTTCATACACAAAACAAAGGAGTTGGGTTAAGTAGAAGCTATTTATGCCAGTTTCACCTACTTATGGTCCTATAACCTTGTATATGCATGATAATGAGTACACTTAGGCAATTTCAAACTACAAATATATCATTTTCGCCTACTTATGCTCCTATATACATGATAACTAAACTATATTTGCAATGAAACCATTACTAACTTTTAATCAAACTACCTCATTCTGAAATTCCTTCGTTGTGGTCTGATCGCATATAACCTGCTTCGTTGTCTATGTCATTTAGTACTCCAGGTCTAGGAATAGTGAAAGGTGCTGAATCATCAAACGCATCATATTCTTCCTTATCCTCAACATCTCCAATGCCTAGGATTCTTCTTTTGCCAGCTAGCACTATAGACCATTTTGAATCCATTGGGTCAGTTACGTAGAACACTTGCTTAGCTTGAGATGCAAGGATAAATGGTTCCGAACTATCATTCAAGTGGCCAAGATCTACAAGAGTAAAGTCCTCATGTTTGACGTTTCGCCTGATATTATCAACCCACTTACACTTGAAAAGAGCAACCGTGAAGTCACAATAATCAAGCTCCCGTATTTCTTGAATTCGACCATAGTATGACAACTCTGCATCGACAGGTGATTTATCCTTAGAACTTGCAAACTCCCTTGACGATGCCACAAGAGTTACACCACTGTTTTGGGTGGAGGAAGATTTCAAATCACGAGCCTCGGTCCAAAAAGTGTACCCATTGATGTCATATCCCTCAAATGAACGGACATCATCCCTAGGACCGTACGCAAGCCACCGTACTGTATCGGTCACATTAGTATCATTCAATCCACTCATTACTCGTTCACGAAACCAATCAAAAAATTTCTTATTATGCAACTGCATAAGTGCCCTTTCACCGTTGGATGGAAATTCGGCACGCAAATAAGCCATGTGCTCGTCTAAATATGGGTGCACATCTGAAACATGGTGCAACACATAAAGGTGTGCTTGTAAGAACTGATCTCGGTCTGGTGACATTCGTTTCGACCCAATTGTGCCATGACCATCAAGTCTACCTTCATGTCGAGAAGTAGAAAGACCAATAGGTTGAGCAAGGGCTATGTAGTCCGCCACAAAGTTACCTATCTCCTCACCCACTGTCCCTTGCATTATACTTCCTTCAGAGTGAGCTCGGTTTTGTACTTTATCTTGTAATGTACCCATGTGTTTTTCAAAAGGGTAGCACCACCTCATGAACACTGGACCGCACAACTTAATCTCACGCACCAAATGAAGAACCAGATGAACCATTATGTCAAAAAATGAGGGTGGGAAATACATCTCAAATTTGCACAAAGTCACAACCACATCAGCTTGCAAAGCATCTAGTGTACAAGGATCAAGAACTTTGCTACAAATTGTATTGAAAAACGAACAAAGGCTTGTAATCGCTTCCCTCACGTGTTTCGGTAGAATACCACGGATTGCAATCGGTAGGAATACTTGCATCATAATGTGACAATCATGGGATTTCATACTTGTCAGCTTCAATTCTCCATTTAAGGTTACAAATCTTTTCATGTTAGATGAGTACCCTGATGGAACCTTAATGCCGTACAAACATGCACAAAACATACGTTTCTCTACCCTTGACAATGTATAGCAAGCCGGGGGTAAATAATTCTTTTCATCCTTCCCTTTACCCTTAACTTTCTTCTTTGACGCATCTTTGGCCTTTCCCTTTCCCTTGCTCTTCTCCTTCCATTTTTTCGAAACACTTTCATCTTCTATTCTCGGCTCCTTTCCCTTTCTGACCTTTTCTTGAGGCCACAATTCTGGACGAATCCCCATCTCTTGCAAATCTAACCGTGCACCCTTTCCGTCCTTTGTTTTGCCTGGAATATTCATAAGCGTCCCCAAAAGAGCATCCACACATTCTTCTCTATATGCATCACATCAAGACAATGCCTAACGTCATGTTCTCTCTAGTACGACAGCTTCCAAAAGATTGTTTCTTTCTTAAACAGAGCAGCTGAGACCACATTCTTTTCTGATTTTCCAAACACCGTTTGTATCCCTTTCACCCGAGCACTAATCTCAGCACCAGTCAATGGTCTAGGCGCAGTATCCTCTTCCACGGTTCCATCGAAAGCCTTTTTCTGCCTACGGTACGGGTGATCAGGCCTAAGGAACCTTCGAGTCTGTAGGTACACATCTTTGTGAGAATGAGTCAGGTATACGCTTGATGTGTCATCAATACATATGGGGCATGCTTTTTTCCCTTTGACCTTGTACCCACACAAGTTGCCATATGCAGGGAAGTCATTCATGGTCCACATAAGGGCTGCACGCAATGTGAACATCTCGTTCTGATGAGCATCGAAAACGGAAACCCCTTCGTCCCACATCTTTCTCAAGTCGTCAATAAGCGGCGCAAGGTAAACATCTATGTCGTTTTCATGTTGCTTAGGACCAGTTATTAGCAATGAAAGCATTACATACTTACGTTTCATGCACAGCCAAGGAGGCAAATTATAAATCACTAAAAGTACCGGCCATGTGCTGTGTTGGGTACTAAGAGTGCCAAATGGATTCATCCCGTCCGTGCACAACCCAAGCCTTAAATTTCTGACTTCATTACCAAATTCCTCAAACTTCAAATCAATGTTCTTCCACTGTGGAGAGTCAGCTGGATGCTTCAGCATTCTGTTTTTCTTTCTTCCCTCTGCATGCCACCTCAAGTTTTTAGCGTCTTTTAGTATTGAGAACAGACGCTTAAACCTTGGAATAATGGGAAGATACCACAACACCTTAGCAGGAGGTCCCTCCGTGCCAGGATTGCAACTCATGCGCTTGTACCGCGACCGCTTGCATCGTGGACACTCCTGCAGTTTTTCATACTCATTTCGATACAAAATACAGTCATTAGGACATGCATGTATCTTCTTATACTCCAAACCAAAGGGACACATGAGCTTCTTTGCGTAATAATAAGACTTAGGAATTTTATTCCCATCAGGCAACATATCACTTAATGCGGTCAACAAAGAAGTAAAACTGATGTCCGTCCATCCATGCTTCGACTTAATGTTGAAAAGTGTTAGCACGGCCGATAGTTTGGAGTATTTTTTGCACCCGGGATACAAAAGCTTTTTGGAAGCCTCCGATAATAATTCAAACACTTCACCTTCAACACCTTGCAACATCTCATCCACTTGTTCATCCTCGACCTCATCTGCCTGATCTTCATCGGCTCCATCCTCACCATTATCAACGATATACTCATCATTCTAGTATTCCTCGTCCACATGAATCTCAGTGTTTCTAACACGCACATCATTCCGATCAAGATCCCCACTGTACTCTCCACTTTCTCCGTGCCAAATCCACACATGGTAAAATTGCCTAAACCCACGACATAATACATGATCTCTAATGATTTCAACACTATCGACCACATTCACACAATTACAATCAACACAAGGACAATAAAGGCTTTTGCCTCCCAGTTTGCGTTGATAAGCTAAAGCCCTCTCGCAAAACTCTTGAACCCCATTCCAAAATTTCAATGTATCGCGTCTACCATACATCCAACCACGATCCTTCTCCATTTAGTAAACTGTCTCTAAACATATATATAGCACCATATAATTGTGTAAGTGCTACATATTTTATGTAAATCAAATTCAAGTACAAAACGTGAATATACCATTCATATAGTGCAAAAATGCATGTTTCCAAAGGGTCCTTATCACTCCAGCCTAACCCATCCTTGAATGTCTACTCTCACTAGTGAATGTATGTCAACTTTCCAATTTTAAGGAAAATCCGACAGCATTTCCCCCTATTTCTCCAAGTACACGATGTAGATAATTAATTACCCACATATGTACCCAGAGAACATAGTGAGGAAATGGTAAGCCGAGATGTTCCTTAAAATCGAAAAGAAAACATACATTCACCACCTAAGTGAGAGTACACATTCAAGAACAGTCCCAACAGGGGACTATTCAAGACTTTCTCCTAATGAGAAAGCCTTGAACGGGTATCTAGGCATATGATGATGCAAGTATTCTACATATTGTTGTATTTATTTGCAAAACAATACACAAGTTGCAATTTCATGAATAAACTTTTATTAAATGGATAAATAGAAAGAAATATAGCTAAGTAAAGTTTATAAGTCATACCAATATAGCAATGCAACTACCCACTTGAGCTCAATATGTAGTCCTCAAGCTAATTAAACTCGTGCTTCAATTCACATATGAATCTATATATTAAAAAAACAAAAATTAGCAACGTCATTAATTATCTAATTAATATATTCACAATTCTCTAATGTATTCACAATTCTCTAATTTATTCACAACTAATTAGGTGGCAATATCACTATTTATTTCTCTAATTTATGCACAATTCTCTAATTTAATCACAATTCTCTAAATTATTCACAAATCTCTAACGTAATCACAATTCTCTAATGTATTCACAATTTTCTAATTTATTCACAACTAATTAGTAGCAAGGTCACTAATTCTTTAATATATTCACAATTACCCATTAAAACAACCTAAAATTACTCATTAAAACATACAAAAACTCAACTATTTAAGTAACATTCTTACTAATCTCTATTATATTCATAATTACTCATTAAATCAACCTCAAAATAACCCATTAAAACTTATAAATTTTTCAACTAAGGAACAACGTAATGCAAAACTACTATAATCTATAATATGTATTCAAAATTACTCTAAACATACAAAATTACTCTAATGTATAATATGTATTCAAAATTTCTAAATAAACAACCAATGCAAAAAAAAAAAAAAATTTATATATACCTTAGGCGGTGGTGGAGGTAGCAGCGGTGGTGCGACTAGAGGAGGTAGCGCGGAGGTGGAGGCGGTGCGCGCTGGTAGAGGGAACAACGCGGAAGTGGAGGCGGTGTGCTGCTGCTCAATTCGAACAATGCTAGTGGCTGGAGGGCGGTGAAAGACAGAGAAGAGCAGGGAAGGGAAAAGACAAGGGCAGGGGAGAATTAAGGTGCTGGTTTTCGACAATTCGTACAGTGCTGGTGGTGTTTCAACTCGTACAACGGCGGTGTTTCAATTCGAGAATTAAGGGCAGGGGGAGAATGTTGGTGGCTGGAGGAAGGATTGAAGGCGGCCGGTTTTCGAAACCCCTGGTGGCCGCCGGTGAAGGTGACGGTTGTGGTGGAGGGAGAGAGAGGAAGGATTGAAGGCCGCCGTTTTTCGAAACCCAACTCTAATGAAACAGTAAGGAATGAAGAAGGAATGAAAGAGAAAGAGAAAGAGAAAGAGAGGAAGGAGAAGAAGGTAGTCCGCGCTTTTTTTTTTTTTGAATTGGGTCCGGTTCAATTGGCACCGGTTCAAACCGGTGCCTTTTAACTTTTAGGCACCGGTTCAGGCCAAACCGGTGCCTTTTCTCTTCTTCTAAAATCCCGCCCATTTCTGGACCGGTTTTGGGCACCGGTTTAGCCTGAACCGGTGCCATATTGGGTGTGCCTAATGCTTTTTTTCTACTAGTGCATGTACCATCTTCCTAATTATAATAAATGCAATTACACTTGAGGTATTTTAGAAAGGTAAAGTTCTATAGAAAGGTAAAGGCTTTTGGGGTTAAAAGATTAATAGTGGGAGTTAGGTAATTGTTTACCCACAAAAGTCAAATTTTTTAAAAGATAAAAAAAAAAAAAAAAAAAAAAAAAAAAAAAAAAAAAAACAAGTCGGTTAGAAGGAAATTAGGGGAGTAGAAGTTAGTAGGCTAGTGCGAGGGAGTGCGGATATAAAAACGGGTGTGCGGAAATCAGCTCCCCAACTAAAGAGGCAGTTTGGATTCGTAAGTTCGTTGGTGAACTTGATGTTGTATTCTTCATCAAGAGTCCAATAGATCTCTATTGCGATAATAATGGAGCTATTACT